AAGAAGCCGCTTAGAAAATACCACTTCATATTTAAGCTATATTCCAGCAATCTATTACATTATCGCGCAATGTCTCTTTGAAGAAATACAGATATCCTAAGTATTGGAACCTTTTGGAAAATTCACCTACCCAGACAGACCACAACAGCAATAGTGACTCGGCATACTGCCTGCTAGCTTCAATCACTCTACCCGTTATCTCATTACCCAAAGACATGAAAAAAGATTCACCTGCAATAGTGTGTTAACACTGCTTGTGAGAAGGGGATACACTGATCCAAGAATAAGAACTGAAAGGATCAGGGAGCAAAGTGGATCCACCCAAGTCCATCCAAACCACTGGATAAGCAATGTCGAGATGATAACGAAAACCGAACCTAGTGTGTCCGCCAGAACGTGAAGAAACACACCTAAAATTGAGCAAAGAACAGATGATGTGCACGATGACAACAAATAAGAGGAAAATCGATCATTTGGAACATTCATAGTATACATAGTCCATCAAAAAAAAAAAACTACCACACCTTCCATGTTTGCATTTCCTGAATGAGAATGTCCATGAGAGCCACCACCATGGGAATGACCATGACCGTGATCTCCTTCGCCACCGTGGAAGGAGTACATTCCGAATAAATTGACCAACAGGCCCGAAACCGCACGACAAACTGGAGAAAGGTGCATATAAAGGAAGTTTCCAGAAAAGTGTAAAATTGAACGCAACAGAACTAAAGGATGACAAAACATACGAGAAAGTCTATCAGTGTTGATGTTGGGCGGATCAAACAACCTCTCAAGAGCTTCAAGTAAAATGAATAAGGCAATGACACACAAGAATAGCGCATTGATAAATCCTGAGAGGACCTGAAAAGCTGATAAATAATAAGTGGAAAGAGAAAAAAGAGCTGTGACATCGAGAAATCTGAAAAAAAAACGAGCCTCGACTCTTCCATAGCCATAACTGAAGTGCCTAGTAGCCGGCCAACGAGACATGACTGCAGCGATAAGACCCATCACCTACAAAATGTACTACACACGATCGAATGCATATTTCAGTATCCATGCTCTCAGAACGAAAAACAAACAAGGGCGGAACAGTCCAAGAGCATGTGGAATCCATCAGAGATGAGACCGAGACTATTAGTCCAGAATCCGTAAAGAAACTCGACGCCACAGAACGACAGATTGACGCATAGGAACCAAAATATGCGTCGGGAGTCAGAGTTGGCCAGAATTTCGCGAAGAGTCTCCTGTAAATGATTATGAGCTACACCTCTTGTGTCCCCCACCAACTAGAAACCCATGGTTTCAGGACAACAAGCTACTTGCTGATCCCATTACGAAATAAGGACTTGAAGTGAAAATTACCTTGAAAAATAGAACAAGCGAACGGCCTGTTTTCTGAAGGAAAGCCTCTTTATATGCGAAAAGCGGCAACCCAGTGTCGGACATCCCAATCAGTTCACCACCTCTGTGCTTCGGGCCACTAGCTGACGTTAACGACACCGAAGCTAAAACAGAGTGAACAAGATAAATGTTTTTTGTGTTGAACTAGAACACAAAGTTTTCGTTCTCTTTTCATTTGGTTTTTTTTTTTTTTTTTTGAAAACTGGTTAAAAGTTATCCTGAAGCACCCATGCACAAAGAAATCATATACTTACCTAAAATAAAAGCAATCACTGTAATGATGACGCCGGAAGTCACAATATGTTCCTGTAATCCTTGACCAGCGTACCACAGCCATGCCAACCCAAGAGCACAGCTGAACATTGTCACCGGTGACCAACGAGCAGCAGCCATTACAGGGTCAGCGACATGCTGCAATAATTGTTCAGTAGTCGTTAAAAGAAGATAATGCCAACTCACGTACCTGGAAGCATACACTTTCGGCATAGAAATCAAGAACCATAACAAAAACTGTTGCTATGAAAAGCAGAATAATGAAATGTAGAAGAGAGTCAGTGACGGACTGAAAAATAACGGAATTTTCATTTTTAGCATAAAAACCGCCAAAATAGACCAGAATACAAACCGTCTTCATAACCAGTGAAAGCACTCCGATAGGAGTGAGGATCATGGCTGAACACGTGGTCACGAGAGAGTACAGTCGCTTGGGTCCACCAATCTCAACCGCGAGATGACGGAATGAATTATCGTAACCTTAATTATGTATCACTAATCGCATGAATCCACATAAAGTAAGTGAATAGAGAACAATATCAAATGCTGACAAAAATATCTCAAAGAAAATATGAAATTAACCCTAAGGTTAGCTGGCTCGGGTCTTGCAATACTGTAGGTAAATTCGAACAAAAAAGTCAATGAGATAAATATTCTGATCAAATTTTTACCACGGGAGCAAGACACACATTCATTCCCCTAACATCTTGGAATGAACGTCTAATTCTTCACTTACCAATACGAAGAAGTAACGCCAGAAATAGAATAGCTATGCCTCCCTGATGATCACTTACACCAAATGTGGCAATAAGGTGATAGAACAAATGGTTCAGTCCACTGTGATGGCCATGGGTTACACCTAAACAAACAGTGCAACTAGGAGAAATCGTAGGTAATCATCGAAATACGGAATGATCAAGCTGAAGAAGTAAAGAATAAAAATAATATCGGTAAAAAACAACAGAAGAGAAGATAAAGATGATTAAAGAGAAATTCGAAGAAAATGATGAGCATTTTGAGAAAAGTGAGAAGTTTTCAAAAGCACTTTTACTTCAATGCAATTCCAAAATAGAAATGCTTCAGGTATGTCTGTTATGCCGGCACATAATTTCTGGGACACCTTTGCTACTTATCGATTTTATTACTTTTTTATTTCTCTGCTTTACTTATTTCTTTAGTATATACCGACACTATTAGCAGCGCATCGTTAACGCAAGGCCAAGAGTTAAATGCACCTCTTGTAGAACTCCATTGAGTTCTGACGGTCGCGCCGAGTCTCCAGTTTTTTCGCAAAGTGGAACCGAGCGACCTCAGAGAAAAAACATTTGTCTGACTTTGCTTTCAATTCAGGGCCATCATGTTGTTGGTGTTTTTCAGTGACCCTGGTATTGCTAGGTGTTAGTTCCCAGTGCAAAGCACCTTTCGTAGCTTGCCAACTGCTCAAAAGGATCGCATTCGGAAAAGGTTGGGCTTTTGCTGTCAGAACCCCAAATTGTTTGTTCGTTAGGTTACTGCACTTGTTGATTTGGTTATAAACACTGTTGGCCAGTCAAACTACTCCGTAAATATGGTGGAGGTAATCTGAAGAAACAATTGAGAAACCTTACAGGACACAACGTCTTGGTCAGATCGTGTATTGAGCACCTGATTCACGCTCGGAGCCATGTTTGAGATTACAAAGTCCACCCTTTTTCAAATCTATACGAAGTTATGTACGAGACGGGTCGCAATCAGAGTCAACCCTGCGTTGCGCAGTTTCGCCCGATTAGACACGTTCTCTCGCGCGAACATTCACACTCGCATGCTCGAGCCGTCTGCGTCTCCGCCCATACAGCGTGCGTTGAGGATCTCTCAACGTGCCGTTGCGAACTGCGCAACGCAGGGTTGACTCTGCCAGTACCCTGCCTTTCCGACGAAAGTACTTTAGCGAATTAGCAACAGTTAGTATGTCTACATCCCTTTCAGTGCGCGTTGGGTAACGCATCGAGATTGCCGGACACAGGATGGTTGGGTATGGATTATCTTCAAATAGAGAATGCCGAGTAGAGGGCATCACTGGTGCAACGTGGATTGAGGGTGCGTGCCTTCTGGTTGATGCTATATGCAGCCTGGAGCGTGAAAGGGGGAAACGCCTACACGGTGAAAAAAAAAAAAAAAAAACAACTCATGATGAAGAGCGCTCAGAAGAGCGGTAATGTTCTAGCTCAAGGCAACTAGGAGCGGATGAAGGACCAACGCCTCAGATAGGGGAGCTCCTGTGCTGCGATGCAAGGCATGTTGGAAAGCTTCGATAATTCTAAAGTTTTTTGGAGGAGTACATGTGGACTGCCTCAAAAATTACGTGTCAATCAATTAATTTTTTGGAAATAATATCTTCACAAACCATGTGGATCCTCTACTGAGTGATCTCGATCCAACAGCAGAAGCGATAAATATCCAATGACTAGAAAGAATAAACCCCTACTTTTCGCCGTTGAAGAATTTCCCTAGAATAGATTATTCGATTCAGGACTTGGATAGAGCCAGTCGTCACTCACCTTAAAAACGGATGCCATGGCTACCAACAAAACAGAAGGGCTCAACTCGAAAACTAGCACAGACCTGAAGTACAGATAAAATGACCGGAAACGTAACCGAGGCGCTGAGGAATCTTGTACCACGTCGATTTGACCGACAAACCTGAGAGGGCCACAAAAGGTGATTCCATAAAACCAGAGCACTTCTATCAAACAATTGACTAATGCCATTTTTCCAATGCGTATAAACTAAAATCTTATTCTGAACAGATGTTAATTTTCAGTACGTACGACAAACTTACCGTTGGTTTCCTCAAAGTATGCCCATGTGTGAAAGAGGTTTCTGGATGGGTAAGAGAAGTGCTGATGCACTGAAAAGAGAACAAGCTAGTTTTGTGCGTTATAATAACTGGAGTGGAATAACGTGCCACTGATGCGATAGAAAAAAATCAAACTCACATCACTTTAACGAGCCATAGCAGACTAACTACATGAATTCCCTTTGCTAAAATGTCGAGAAAAAATATGCCGATACATCGAAGAATCTTCGTCAGCACCAAAACACAAAAATACCATGCTGACCTGAATTGCTCATCGTAGGTATCAAGGGGTTAGCTTAGGATGGTCATGTCGGTTCTTGCTCGCTGCTACTGTAGGGTGGTAAACGATCTATTCATCTGGGTGACCGTACCGGGTTTGCTAAAAGAAAGACAAAGGCACTTTTCAGGTGCACAAGAATGCCTTTATTGCTTCTACTGAGTTGGAATCTTACAAAATTTTGACCACAAGGTTAAAAAAAAAAGTTCAAACAATTCAAATTCCTCAAAAACTGCTCCCTTTTCGAGTTCTTTTACCACGCAGCCGGACTTTTTGCATGCTAAGCGGAACATTTAGTAGAACAGTAACTAATAGTGAATCCTCACCGAGAAGAAGATGTCGGTTTGAACGTCCGATCGTCCTTCTTCAAAAAATCGTGAGCTAACATCTCAGATAACCTTTGATTTCCGCGGAACGAAATATTTTATTATAACTTCATGTCTCTTAGGATTAACAGCAAGGTCTGAAAAAAAAAACCTATTTGAGCATCCGTTTGGTCAACTGAGGTTGTCACCAGCCATTTCATGTTGCTCAGAACAGTATCGCCTAGACTGAGCGAATTCAAACCACCGCATCGCTGTAGCGATTACATCCAAAACTCAAAAGCGAATCATCCACCCTGATTGTCACCGCACTCGAATAAGAACTACGGTGGACTGGTATAAGCAAGCTTATTCGGAATGTCATGGTCAAATTCGCTTTCGCTGATATGCTGTTTGGGTGTGGAGATGACCCCCCTTCAGCTAATTTCCTAAGAAAACGGTAGCACCATGCAAGTTCAGGCTGCTCTCACACTTTCACTTCCTACCTATAAGCCTGACAGGGATCAAGTGTGGTTCACTAGGACAAAAGCGAATTTTTCGCACTCAATTCTCGCTGTGGAACCCCAGGCCCACCGCTGATCATCAGTGGATCTGAGGTCCCCGCAGCGAAAAATGCTTCCCGTTGCGAATTACGAGCAAGTCGCTTTCCGTCCTGTGGCGGTATTCAATCCTTCCCCCAGGGGTTGGGGGACGGAAATCCCTTTAAATTTATTTGTTTTTAACGATGTAGTTTCTTCATTTTCAATGCATGCTTACTGTGACATACATACATACATTAAACCTAGGCCCTTTATCAGGACAATCCCAGTTGGGAAGACAGAGAAAATTTAAAGGGATTTTCGTCCCCCAACCCCTGGGGGAAGGATTGAATACCGCCCCTGGTCTGTACCCACCCCACAGAGGTCTATTTTTATTTACCATGGAAGGCATTCAACTTCCCATGGAACTTTTAGTTGTGACCCAGATATACCGATAGACTCAAAATGAGCGTGCCATAGGGAGTTGTGAGCACCCAGTTGGCTGGAAGTGAAGCGTTCCATATGTACCATAAGTCATATCGTTCTTCTTTTCGTTGAATGCCGAATTCGAAGCATCCACGACTTTCCGGTCCGGATTTAAAAGTACATAGGGCTACACGGTTGATTCGTAATGCTCACTTCCAGCCAACTTTGACTGCTCACAACTTCCTTGGCAGGTTCATTTTGCAGTTTTAGTTTCCATGTTTGTAATCAGCGTTTGAAGCTCTATCGATATATCTGGGTCTCATCTCAAAGTTCCATGGGAAGTTGAATGCCTTTCCTGGTTAGAAGAGACCAAGGATTAAGATTGATCATTCCAAATGTTATGTGCTCTAAATGACGAGGAATTTCAAAAGTGAAAGCGTATTTAACTGTCACTGCTAAGCCACAAAAAGGACATTCATATGATTAGATCATGCCCGTAATACATCAAAGATATCTGAGCTTCGACCAAAGATTTCGAGATAGAAGAAGGAAAGGTCTCATAAATTTACACCCAGCCAAAAATTTGCATCCGAGAATGTGATGGGATTCGGCCAAAGAGAATCTAGGCATTTAGAGTCATAGTGAGCGCTAGAATAGGAAACAGTATGCCAGCACTTCTTTAACTGCAGGACAGTCAACTTTGGTTTCAGAATTCTCTGGATGGGAAATAATAACTTTCCCGCGCGCATTCAGACAACCAGACAATGAGATGATGAGTTTAATAGGACGTAAAATTAATAACGAGCTAGCGAACCAATCGCAAGGACGAGTCAGCCTAGTGACCGTGAATTTGCGTCGCGACGGCGGCGTGGACAAAGCCCGTAATTGCACCGGACCTACCTGCACCAAACGCCACCTTGGCGCAACAGTCTCTTCTCTAGAAGTATGCATCGAATATCGTCTTTCTTACTGTTTCTGAGCTATGCTTCTGCAGCCAAAGTCGACGACAGTGTGCATTATTTCGTCACATTCGATACTGCCGAGAATGGGCTTGCAGGTGGTCAATTGTTAGAGGAAGAAAACGAGAAAGCGCTCAAGGACGATAATTCATTGCGGATATCCACACAAAATAATGAGAACTATATCTGCAAGCTGCCAAAGCCAACAACTACAGTGAGTGTTTTGGATGATCAATTGTTGTAGTATTTACGAAGTGTTTTCAGTTTGGTTGTAAGCTAGACCCCTTGGATTTCGTTCCTATAAAGGTGTGGTCATAATTTGTGTTTTCTAGCCATTTCCTTCGCAGTTGAGCGTGAAGCAGATAGGTCGTTTATGCGACTGGATGATCGATACGTCCACAATCGAACTGCAGCACGATCGCTAACTATGACCGCGCTCTAGTATCCATTAAAGGCTGGGTTTACGATGAACAGGCACTGCTTGGAAAGGCCAGGTAAGGTGATAAGCTGGTACAGGGGAAGAAAAACGCTTGGATCCGCGTTTTGGAACCTGAGCGACGGACCATTTGCCGTTGTTTTTCCGCCATATGAGGCCACTCATCGGTGCTGCACTCTCTCTTTCTCTGTCTCTCTCTCTCCTCTCTCGATTACGTGACTACTTGAACTTTCCCCTATGTTCTCTAAGGCAAAAGGCCAGAGCACAGACAATTAGAGAACAGCGTCTGGCTTTTATCCAAATCCCAACCGGGAAGTTGTTGCGGAACTGTGGGGGAGGAAAAGCTTTGTTAAAACACTTCACAATGCAAGTCACAATTTGGGGGTCGCGATGAGGACTTCAGACTAGGGACCTTCGAGCGACGGGAGTATTAGTTCCTTCTATTTTATGGGCGTAGACAAATGTTAGTGAGGTAGTGACAAGGAGTTTTGAGCCTGTCAGATCAATGTCCCGTTAGTATAATAAGCGGACTGATTAGGTATTCTTAGAGGAGCGCAGAGAAGAAGCTTGGAGAATTCATAGGTCGGAGACAGGTTTGAAGAACCGCGTTCAACTTGGTTTCTCTCTGGTGACCCTCTGCTGGCTCGTCTCTCTCTTCTGTGGACCGATCGTCATGGTCGGGACGACCGCGGACGGATCGCGATTGTGTGTCTTGTCGCAGTCCGAGTCTGGTCTTAATGCGCGGAAGCCAGCCGAATGGAGCCGGACGAGAGAATCGGTCTGACATCGCCGGCCTGTCTTCGCATACTTCAGTCGCTTGCGCCGTATCTCTCTGTCTGCCCTAATTACGTGCCAAATGTCTTTTCGTAGGACACTACTGATAGATTCAGCAAGTGTCAGATAACTCAGTGGAATACAACACGTTGTAACGAATTGAGATTTCGGGACAGTGGAGGCAGCAGGACAGGGACGGTTATTTTCCGACACCACCAGTACAGGGCTCTGCGCAAAGCGCTTCCTGGCGGGAGATTGGATTACGTTGTCTTTTGCGCCACACACCTTACTCTCATTCCGTATCTTTAGATTTGGGTCTGTGCGCGTTGACTGAGTCACGGTATAATAAGAGTTGGTGCATACTTGATATGCTAATTTCCAACTGTTTGCCACCTCTCCTGGTCCTAGATGCTGGGTATTGCAGAGCCATAGAATTGCAGATTGAATAGCTTCATATTTATGCAGCCGTATTTATCTCGCTCTCCGTTCGAGTATGAGACATTGGTGTGTGTTCTACTTGGAGTTTGATTAAGCTCTTCATGGACAGCTCTCGTGTTGGCCCTCCGTACTTAAGTTGTGGTCATTGAGATATAACTGTGGATACTCGCAACCCGCGTTGTGCTTACTGGAAATTCTCGGCGCATTCATCCACGAGCGATTTTCCAACTGGCGCTCGCAGAACCAGCTACCGCAATCCAATGCAGTAAGCGGGCGACTGATCTCATAGATATTGCTTCAGAGGAATATGGGTGAGAATATAACTGTTGTTTTGGGCTCACAATTCGGCCACCATTCTTCTTGATTGATCTTGTTCTATAGGGGAAACGAGTGTCGTATTTCAGATAATTTACGCGTGGTAGCACACGTGACGATGGCATCGAAAATCGATACTACACGTGCTTTATGATGCTCTTGATACTACCTGATGTGACGTGTGCTACCAGTACCGCAGTCAAGAAAGTGGGGCCTTGTGTGGTTTTGTACAAGTGTCAGAATGAAAATCTTTCATTTTTGGAAAGAAACAGACATACCTATCGGACAATGTACTAGAAAGCTAAACAGTAGCATGGCGTAGCATCAACGTTTCTTGGGTCTGTTGCATCTTTTATTTTCTAATTCTCCCTACTATCTATTTGATAATTTATTCCTCCTCAGAACAGCAACGATTTACGTATTACTGACCCTCTGGAACAACGAGGCTCTCTCTCACGCCACGCGACCTGAGATGAGAGTCGTCCATTTTGCTAGTTATATTGAGAAAAAGTTGGGGTTCATTACCGTGTTGAACCGCTACTGATTATAGCGAGTCTGGCGGGTTGTCTATGGACGTAATGTTGATTATTGCTCACAGTGTCATTAGAAGATACTACAAAACTAGTCTATTGTTGGCACGTAAGAGTTATGGGACGGGTCATGGATCTCCTTAACCCTTTTCGGCAATCAAGGGCCAAAGTACTACCTTGAAAACCTTCACGCTAGGACTATTCAACCTGGTGGGTGTTTTTCATTTCAAAGGTTTCCAAAGTTTCAATTTTTTTCGTTTTGGGCAGGCGACTTGTTTCCACATAACGAGCAGTGTTCCAGAGCGCTCCTGCGAATTATGACAATCCTCCGAAAAGGGTCATAGATGGGGAAGAATATGCGTATTATCCTGTATTATACAGCCAAGGAACTACTTGTGATATCACAGGAAAGCCAAGAACGACAACTGTTATGTACATATGCGTTGAAGTAAGACTTTTTGGAGTTTCTGATAAAAATTTGTTAGTGTCACGTACAGGAATTTTGCATAACAGGAAAGGTCATTTGGTCAACCCAAGCGCAGGGGCAGTGGTCGTGGCTTACTGAGAAGTCATGAGATCGACTCCTTGGCGAGCTTACTTCTTTTGCCGTTTGCAGTAAGATAGCTAGGAAGATTCCTAACATCGCTAGTCCAACATGCTTGCGTATAGTTAACAGTACAAAGAATTTAAGGGCAATTAATAACGAACTTGGGCGGCATCGCTCCTCACTACTTTGGGCGCTTGTAGCGCAGGCGCCAGGCATTTTTGCTTCGAACAAGTATGATATTCGTAATCAGGGAGTCAGACTCTCCCTTTGAGCAAACTTCTAGCGAATTCTGAAATTTTGACCTAACCTCGAAAATTTGGGCAGTCACTTACTCACCGATCCACCAATCCATTACAAAAGGCTGGCACTTGGGTAGAATAAACCTTCTGAACATTTTCAAAAAAAGACAAAAAATGTGTCTGGCTTGCCTGTTCGCGGGGAGTGATTCTGGCCTGGGGCGAAATGTTTTACCCATAACTCAACATGTTAGTGATAACTCTTGCATGGCAAACCGCAGCCAAAAACAACAGTTGACAATAAAAGCAAGTCCAAATCGTGACTCCGATAACTTTTGTTCAAATTTCGATGTTCTTATTTTAGAGCGCACGCAACCAGATTCACTCGTTGAGCGAAGTTTCGTCATGTAACTACGAAGTGATTGTATTAACCTATGCGCTCTGTTCTCATCCCAGCTATAAACGCAAGGTGAAAGAGAATCAGGAAATTGTTTGCTATAGCACACATGATACTGAACACGCAAAGCCAACTTCTCTTCTTGCCATGGAGGATCATCACCAAAGCACCTTCAAAAGGGTTAGTGAAGTTTTTCATAAACAATTGTAGACGAACACTTGTTGTTCTCATGGCAATCATGATCTTCTTTCAGTAGGAGTGTTTATGGCATCGGGTTACCTATTTCGTTAAGTAGGCCCGGTCACGACGTATGAAATTGGGTGTCAGTAATCTCTGTGATATTTCTGCTACTGTGTATTTTCTAAGCTGTTGGTTTTCCTCCTTGATAAGGCGTATGAACAGTATAGTGACGGTACAATCCCACCCCTCTTCCTCTAACTTTAAGGCAAAACTCCTTTCACATTTGGTGAAAATGCAATTTTGGTATTTATCTTGTCCACTATCAACCATTGCTTATTCATGCGAAGATTACACCTGTTATAGTGCCTAGGATCCAATACTCCTGTATGTAAATATTTAGGGTGTCCCAAAAGTTTTGAGAAAATTTTGGTCATGAATTTCGCAACCATGTTGCGCAAGAAAGCGCCGAAGCAGAGCCACGGAAAATAGGGCAGGAAAAGGGCACTCTTGGTAGATCGTCAAAACAATAGAACGGTATTGCACTTCATCTTTGGAAATGAGTTATCATCATTTGAATTTGATGTCCGACTGAGCACGGACTACAGGGTGCTTCTGCGCATACTACCGGATCGGATTGTCACTGCTGCCATCTCAAGCACTAATAAAATCGCAGACACATGTGTGTATCTTTCAGTATTGGTAGTCAAAAACACTAAACAAGAAAACTAGTGCTTGGTCCCTCATTCCTCACTTCCCTGCAGTGCTTTACGTGGGTACGCGGCGCTCTTCTAGAGAAGGGAGATTGCCCTGCGACGTATGTCTCAGACTTGAGTGACGTCTCGCACCTCTCAAAAAAACCGGGTCATTTGTTTGTAGCGTCCGCTAAGCAAAGCAATCTATTTCTTAATCATATAGGCAAAGTGAACGTGGCCAATGCGACGACTGGTTCTCTGTTCACTATCCAGGGGATTCTGCGCGAAGTTCGCAGTCGGGGCAGGCGGCTCCGGGGAAGTTGTCCCCACTCGATATTATGACACGAGCCTCGTCCGTCTTGTGGTGTCGTGTCGAATGTTGCCAGATACTTAACTCTACCTGTTAAACGGAACGACGACGACTGACGACTTCAATGTATCGTTCAAGGAGCTGAAGAGGTGGAGATCTGATGACAAATTCCACGCAGAAAGTTTGCAGTGGCTTTGACTGTGGACGTGATCAGTGCTCTCTACTCTGTGTTTACGTACCAAAGCGTGGTGGGACTCACTGCGCAAAATGAGAGATGGATATCATCATTTCGTTATGACTCCACGGGCGGGTTTTAGCACATCCTGATCTGGTTGTTATTAGCTACGCGACTCTACCCTGAGTGTGAATACTGCGGTGGCGGCAAGAGTATTTTTTCGTTAGGTTTGAGCATTGCTGCTGGACGAGGATTTGGGGGCTCAACATGCGTGCAACGGAAGGGGAGTTTGATTTTAGCCTGTCTTCGTGGTTGGGAGCCACTTCACCCCTAATGCTCTCGATTCACCGACGTACAAAGGAGAAATACGCCTTTTGTTACGCCATATTTGCAAAATATGTGTCGATAGAAGGACCAATGCGTGCGACCAAATCTTTCCGAAGAAGTACGGACGGAGGAGGAAGCTGGAAAGAGGTTAGGAGGTCATTGCACTGCGCGCTACCTCTACCTCTTCAGATTACCTGAATCGTCGGTGCGCTTGTGATTACCATGCTTTCCAGAAAGCCTGGAGGCCTACACGAAAGGGAAAAAATTCAACAACCGTCAGGAGGTCAAGCATGCAGTGGATGAATGGATCGCTTCACGCCCTTCTTCTTTCTGGATGAATGGCATCAGTGCTCTGCCCAATCGATGGAGGGACGTCGTGGCTAAAGAGGGCCACTATCTCGATTACTGATCTCACTTTTTGTTGTAGTATTTTTGTGTTGAATAAACCAAATAAATTTTCTCAAAACTTTTGGGACACCCTAATACAACGATTGACAATCAGTCTGACAGTTTCCATTCAAAAATGAAAAAGTATGTACTAGACTTCTTGCTATCGTTCGTGTCAGAGCATTATTTGAAAAATACTCATTGTTGTTTCGTTTGCAGTTTAACTGAGTTCGGTATTTTTCGAGTTGGGTTTAAGGAAATTTTGTTGTCAAAGCAATTTGCCTACATTGCTATCTCCTCCTTCCTTACATTTCTTTAACTTGCGACCTTACCAAAAAATTCCGAGTATGACAGTAACGAGAACATTGAGACTTCTTAAATCTCTTGAGAACGTTCTATTCATTGAATTACTTCGTAGTCGAATACTTTCACACTGGAACGCCTAGGAAATATCTGTTTTATAGTTTTGCCTCATGCAAGTTGATCCCATAGACTTCATTTGCTTCGGTCATTCACTCGCTATAGTTCCACTATTGCGATCAACACATCGATTTGAATCTAACCATCGTTTACGTTTACCAATAAGTTCTTTCAGGAATACTCTCTCGGTCCGGAAAAGCCTGCTGCCGACATTGAGCATATTGAGCGAGTAGAAAAAGCTATTGAGCAGATGCAGCAGCAGTTTGAAAACAAGGAAAAGACGTTGAAGCTTGCCGGCCAGAAGAAGTGAGTGTTTTATGTGGCCAGAAGAAGAATAGTTTTATTGTCTATATCTATACATATTCCTTGTCTTTCTACTTTTTGGATTTCGTCGTTTCCTTTGTCCCACTTCCGGTCATTTGCCGTATCTTGGGTGGCTGATCACCTTCGAGGGCTAAGACAGAGATTTAATCCGAATTTAACTGCAAATCAGGAATTTTCCATATTGAAGTTATCTCGTCACTTCATGGTCACATTGATTCAGAAAACTGTTACGGCTACAATTTTCAGAAGTTCCTCCTTGTTTTTAGGCCACAAGAAGAATGTCTCTCGTGGAGGCCATCGTATTCTCTTTCAGATATCAAGGTGTAGATACCCTTGCAAACAACCGGTTGATTGTTGAGGACACTGTGAATCGCATCCTCTCTGGAAGGGAGTGTATCTATGGCGGCGATGGGTGGTGGAGATATGAATTCTGTTATGGGAGAAGTGTAAGCTTTATCTCATCCCACCGTTTAGGCTTTTTGTCTGTGGTATTTCGGGTGACATGTCTAATCCTTTCAGGTTTTGCAATACCATCAAGAACCTAATGGTGACCGCACGGAGATATTGCTCGGAACATTTGATGAAAAAGTGCACAAGGCCTGGGTTGACGAAGACAAAACTCATCGATCTCCGAAGAAGGTTGGCATTTATACGAGTCGCCGTGATTCCATATAAAATTCGAGGAGGACGTTTAGTGCACAAATTCTTGTTTCAGTATAACAATCAAGTTACACAAGTATCTCATCTCTATGTGAAAGGAGATATTTGTCACGAACTCAATGCCCACAGGTGAGTTTCTCCTTTTACAACATTGCAATTAGTAGTATCTGCGTGATATTTAACACATTCACGACGACGCCCCTTTTCCACTTTTCGGTCGCGTGGGACGGACGCGATTTTGTGGGCGCCGCCGCCTCACCACATAACCGCAGATTTT